GAGTTTCACCGCAACGACTACTTGTGAGAGTAAGCAAACCCCTTAAATAAGGAGTGTGCCACAAACCCACATGGTATATAACACAGAGTGAAGTCTTCTTAGTCCTAGACCCAATAATAACATTGCGGGTTGATTTGAGTTGGAAGCTTTTGTACCTTAATGTCTTTATTCTTCTCCTTAAGGAACTTCCCTGTTCCCGTAACCGTTCCACCGGTCCCTACACCGGCTACTAATATATCGACCTTCCCTTCTGAATCTCTCCATATCTCCGGACCCGTGGTTCTGTAATGAATCTGCAAGCAACATATTTGGATTCAACCATAACACAAAGAGAGAGATAGCAGAGAGATTCAAAGGATATTGAATTGTGGTGGATGCATTAAATAAACCTCTGGGTTTTCAGGATTTAGAAATTGGTGTGGAATGTAACCACCAGGAGTTTTGCTTAGTATCTCTTCAGCTTTCTCCAACATCCCTTTAATGCCTATGGACATGTCAGTGAGGATAAGCTCAGCACCTAGTGCTCTTAGAATGATTCTCCTCTCTAAGCTCATCGTTGAGGGCATCAAAAGGATCACTTTGTAACCTTTTGAAGCACCGATGCATGCTAGACCAATCCCCGTGTTACCACCCGTTGCCTCAATCAATGTACTCTTTTTATACAAAAACATAACATTTTCAGATTCCATCTATGACTTCTTGATAAAATATGGAGAGATTATATGGTTTTTTTTTAAAGTGTTTCTACTAACCTTTCCGGGAGTAATCAATCCTTTCTCTTCTGCATCTTTGATCATACTATAAGCTATTCTGTCTTTGATGCTAGAGCAAGGCTCCATCATCTCAAGCTTGGCGACGATTCGGGCCACGCAACCATCCACAATCTTGTTCAGATACACCATTGGCGTGTTACCAATCAACTGCACGAACATAGCAAAGGCTTTTATTTACGCAATGTTCTTTTATTCCAAGAAGGCAAAAATTGATAGTGAAGAGATTAGAGATTGTTTACTTCAGTGACATCGTTCTTGATCAAGCACCGGTCTTCCATGTTGGTCACTGGATATGAATGGAGTCCAAAATCGGTAAGAATATGTCCGGAAGAGAAGAGACGAACCTTGATCTGAGATTCAAAGATGGTGACAATCTGCTTAATGGCTCTGTTTACAATTCACAAGTAGGTCAGTTTCAAGACAAAAATTGGCACATGGGATATAATGTTAAAAGTGAAAAGCACAGTGAGTATTGTCTCACAACTATAACGTTGATCAAAGATAAAAGCAAATTGAACAGAGAGATGTCATCTCATGAGTAACAGAGAACATAACAGAGAGAAGCAAGATATAGAAATGTGTTACTTTTTTTTTTTTTGGTCGAAGAAATGTGTTACCTTTGAAGTTTAAAGTTTAAACCAAAGTATCAGAAGCAGAGAAAGAGAGAGAAAAACCCCGCTGAGTCCAAATCTACACCGTACTCTAGATATATACACAGGCATATATATAGTACATGCGTTTTGTATAGATTAGTATTGAGTGGTTGTACAATCGAATAATAATATCTACGTGGGTTAACTTTCTTAGGAAAAAACAAAACATACTAATTTTTATAAAAAGAATAGAAATAAATATAAATAAAGACAAAAATTTTATACTTTGTGGGAATAGAATACCGAGAAATAAAAAGAAGAAAGCGAGAGAGATTTTGTAATCAGATGAAATATTGTGTTCTGATGATTTTACAAACGGATGAATGCATGCATCTAGTGTGCTCCGCCATCATTACATGTCTGCTGGGCTAAAATATGTTTTTGGGTCTAAACCATTGGCCGGTGCAAAACTACATNCAACAATAATATACTTCATCCGTTTTAAAATATAAGCTGTTTTAGAGGTATTTTTATGTTTCAAAATATAAGTTGTGATAATCTTAGGTACTTTTAATTTTATTGACTATTGTATAACCAATAGTATTTTGCACTCATTTTTTTATTGGTTAAATTCTTTTTATTATATATTTAATATGCTATTTTTTAGAAGAAAAATACTTTATTAATATTCGCACTTTTAGTTAAAACAATTTACATTTTGAAACGGAAGGAGTACATTATATTTACGAAAATCCCAAAAACATTAATTTACGCAATAAATTAAATTTTGCAAAATGTAAAATTGTATAATGAAATTATTGTATGAATGAATAAATTTAACGGAATGAG